TGTCGTGCTTTCTAATACTGCTTGTACATGGATATTATTCTAATATGCGTTGGTAACAGAGCAGCAAACAACCATTTCTGCCTCGAATATTGCACTGATTATGTGTTCGTTAGTATTGTTCCGTACTAAGTTAATCGGTGTTCATAATCTTTTATAAGTTTCAATCGCAATATCTTCTGTAAGCATCCTTATTCTAACGCATCTGCAATTTGCCTCGCTCAAATTATGAGGCATATAAGCGATCATCTGTGGAGGATCACGCGTCTTATTTATCAGTTAAATAAATTGTGCTTCGAATAGATTTTGTTATCTTCAAGAATTGTGAACGCGTCATCAAGGAGTTATATTAAGTAACCCGGTAATTATGTCTCGTTATACCTTGGTCTTCACGATACTTCTCCACTGTACGAAACTGTAAAGGAGAACAAATCATTGTAAACTAATTAATTTGGTTGGTCCCACAAGTTTATTAAAATTACTATTCACTGTACATGTTGCTATATAGGTTTCTTATCGGAACGCTTCCATGAATAGTATTAAATCTTGGCAACTTGCAAAAGTATGGGTTTTTCATCCACTGGCATATACAAATGAACTTGATCAACGGCCAATGTTGTTTCCCAGCTTTTTGGCGCAACTTCTGGAATGAGTTCTACTTTTACAAGAAATACAAATACTTTGTTATGGATTGAAAGTCATTAACTTTGTACTATTTATTATGGCCAACGGCCCCACCGTGAGAGATATACGTACTACAGTATGAAAACGTTTCAGGACGACAAAACAATAATACCATGTATTAAAAGCGAAGTGCTAGAATTGGTCTGTTTAATTCATGGTAACTTTTTATTGTCATGTCAATTGCAGAGATAACTGTCCGAAGGCCATGTTACTGCACAACCCTCATAGCATGAACATCTTTTTACTTGAATCATGATAAATAACGTGTTAGTCGCATATAAGAACAGTTTCGTTTTCTCGTAATATGTTGTGCGCATGAAGGACCAAAACGCTCATAAATTTATAGCAACCGCTTCTTCATTATTATGTAGAAACTATGATGGCTCGATGGAAAATCTTCCAAGTGGAACTTTCCAGGAAACGCAAGCATACTCTGGGACAGTGTAAACGATTTAAAAACATCACAGATTTTGGCTTTTTAAAAGCATGGAACGGTCTATATTACAGCAGTTTCACTGATGTTTTGATTGCATTGATGGTGGAGGCGACCACGCACGACATCTTGAGCCACAGTGCTCCACGGTCAGATGCTGGACGGGAAGAAACAGTGGCGGTACACATACTTCCTTGTGTGTGGGAGAGAGCTTCTGCGGTTGCCTTAGGTGCTGCGATCAGCAGGCTGGAGTGAGGCTCATCTTCCTGGGTTTCTTTACAGTCACGGCCAAACCTGAAAAATGAAATGGAATGAAGTCAGATAATTCAAAGCTACAAAATTAACCTATTCAGTTTAGGAAATTTTTGTGGACTCCATTCATTCATGACCTACTGCATCGTGCAATAAATGTATCTTAATATGAACAGAGATAAATTCTTCTTGCAATGGGTGGTAAAAAGAAACTAGGATATTTACATGACAATCCCCAACTGTACAGCAATTCATGGGACAATATTATATCTAGCTAATAAGGAACTCAGAACGTCTCTGAAAGTAAGGTTCCAGTTGAAATTTCATACATTAGTCACCTGCACTTGAAATAAACACTTGATAAGTTTCCCACTGACTGAATTTTTGGAAATATATCATTTGCCATGGAAGTCACTTCCATGAATTAGATTGATCTACCAATCAAATGCTGAATGGATGCAAGAATGGATTTAAGACACATATTCTGATTTTTTCAAGTTGATAAGCTGGACTAGGAGGGTTTTTGCTCTAAAATTTAATGATTCGATAACAAAATAATGCAACATTATGCAGGACTGAAACTATAAAGCACTTATGTCACCATCACCAAACAAAACATGTATTACATTACACAAAACACATTACAAAAAAAAATTGTACATTAGAAAAAAAAATAATTTCCCATCTGCCAAGGTAAAGAATTGAAAAAATTTGTCTCTATGTATGGGTATATTTCTCAGTCTAAGTCTGAGAAAATTAATAATATTGTTAGACTCATTAAGCTTCAACTGATACATTGTCCTAGTAGAAGATTTTGCAATGTTTTTTATATAAATTTTTCTCAGAAAACAATTTTTTTTGTAGAGCAATTAGGATTACAAGATGATTGACTTAGCTAGCTTGTTACCCACCCAAAATTATTTTAAAACTTTCTTTCTCATCTACAAACAGGTTCAAAATGTTTTCACTGTTTTTACCAATTGTACAATTGAATTATATATAAAGTTATTAGATTTTGCCATCTTGAAAATATAGTCTCAATTCACCATTAATTCCCAAACACCCCATTAGCTATTTTATTGATAAAATTGGCTTTCATGAATTCATGTAATAAATTAGGACTAGGTAATGAATAATGTCAGTTGTCAGTACTAGAGACTTAGATCTTAGAAGTTACAGTGTCTTATGTATTCTTAAATGATGCAGATATTTTAAATGTGATTCATGAATAAGTTTTATCAGTGTTCAGACCAAAGAATGATATTCATTATAATTGGAATTACACAATATAGATAGCCACTAAATAATTAGGGTAGAATTCTGGGAATGTGCGTTCATATATTCAAGATTGATGATCATTGATCCAGCCTAGTAGTACTAGTAGTAGCATGATCAGTCAATGCCAATCAGATAAAAAATAGCTAGGTACCTATTAGGTAAATATAAAATAAAATTTAATTGCACATTTTTCAAACAAATATGGTATCATATGATTATGATATGATATATGGTATGTTTGAATTTTGAAAAATGTGCAATTAAAATTTTATTTTATATTTACCTAATATTTTATACCTGATTGGCATTGACTGATCATGCTACTACTACTACTAGGCCTACTAGGCTGGATCAATGATCATCAATCTTGAAAATATGAATGCACATTCCCAGAATTTTTTTTTTTTTTTCTACCAAATTCAGAATTCTACCCTAATTATTTGGTGGCTATCACATATGATTTATATGTGCACATAGCACATGTTTGTAATTGTACCTATATTACCCCTTGCCCCTGGGTTCCACTGCCAAATTTCACCTTGCAGCACCAATCGCCAGGATGCACAAATAGGCTATTCTAATAGTAATATCCAACTATGAGGATTCTTTTTCTTTGATATCAATTATATCATCATCATCATTCATCAATAACTTTATTACCTAGGTAATGCTACATATCTGGTCATTTTCCTCACTTTCTTAGCCCCTAACATAAACACCAAACAGTATTTTGATTTAATCTCTAGGCATGCCATTAGCTTTACCTGCTGCCTTAGTAGGTAGCCGTAGCCTAGCTGCCTAGGTGCCAGTGTCACATCAAATAGGTACAAGGATCTGATCCTACTCACAGTCTCACTGAAACATGTACAACATCGTAGCTAAATAAATTGAGAAGTATCAGATTAAAACTGACATAATTAATCAGAGATAATTAGACATCAACTCACTTGACATAAGCGGGATTCGTTGAGGAGAGAGCTTCATTTTTATGGTCATCTTCTGAATGATCTGACAGGAACTCCTTACCGATTACGGCCTCTCAGCAAGTCGGCTCTGTTTGTTTGTTTCGAATTTTTTTGTTTTACATGATAGAATTGCTCAATAAGCCCTATATACTTAGAGACAGACTAGCTGAAGCTACTGGAATTTTTATAAAGACTTCGAGGAGGGCAATTTTTTTTTAATTGATCTCGAAAACGGCACAAAAACAACGTCTTTCACGACAGTATTTACATTTTGGGCCCACGGTGACGTCACAGTCGGAACAACAAACGACATCCGCAAAGAGCAGCTGCGCGTGGGTCAACCTTGTATTAATTCAACCATGTGTGTCTCGACATTGTAGCATGTGATTTGCAAAAGTTATAAACTTTTTTAGAGTACCCCTTATTTGCCATTTTCTATTAATTCCACGTTTTCTTTCATTTTTTAAATTTACATGAACAAAAAGGTCTTAGATTTCTGTTTTACATATGTGTACCAGGTTTCAAAACGATCCGTCTGTAAACAAAAAAGTTTTGTTGGAGGGTAGCCGGTCCCCTTAAGTAAAATCTAGGTGCTTCATCTATAAATGTAGCGGTAGCGGTAGCGCTGTAGCGGCAAAACCTCGTATCGCTACTTAAATATGTAGCGGGCGCTACCGCTACCGCTACATTGCCTTAAATGTAGAGCCGCTACCGCTACTGAAAATGTAGCGGCCGCTACATGTAGCGCGCTACTGCCCACCTCTGGGAATATCTACTTGACATCCCTAGCTACCAACAGAAGAGAATATCTACTGAGAGCTGCGATCTTCTCATCGTTGGTACATAGATAAGATCATAAAACCGATGGTCTTAGGCTCATTAGTTTAATGCAGAACCGTAACTTGTTTTTAGCCATGATGCCAGATAACCTAATCTACTCGTCGTGTGAGAAGAAATGTCAATCAGCTAGCTCTTGTACATTGGTTTGGAACGTAGAACCGAGATAACACTGAATCCAATCGAAAAGGCTTCAAGAGTTTCGCAAATTTGCGCACAGTCACATTTGCCGTTTTCATGAGCTAAATTTTCCAGCCAAGTAAATATTTGAGAACTTCATAGCACATCGCATTCAAAGAAAAAGTATCTGGGGTATCAATGAAAAATATTGAGCAAACTACACATATACCGTGAAATGCTCCATAACATAAAGTGTTCAGGTGGGCAGTGCAACTCTACCCTTGATAAAATCTGATGTAGTTCATACGTTACTGAACAAATTTGTCTTTCTGTTGGTTTTTCTCAATTTTTTTATGTTTACTGTCGAATGTCTCTTTGTTTTGAACGTCCACCTAATCGTGAAATCGTTCTTTATTGCTTGAGCCTCTGCTTCAAATTTATTTCAAATTATAACATTTCATGTTGACGATTTATTTTCATGACGATTTATCATTTTCATGTTGACGATTTATAATTTAGTTTATGGTTGGAGCGTTTTCCATTGCTTCCTTATCCAACAATTTCATTTTGGTAGACTCTACTATACCAAAGAATTGTAAACGGGAAAAATTCATGGCCTAGCAAACACGCCGCTCGTGAGAAACATGTCGTGCTACAGGTCACGTTTGCGTCAACGCAACGTTCTCTAGTATCTATTCAATACTTTACTCCACGTTCTGCTCACGTTTCTTTGTTTCAGATTACAAAGTTCTACATTCATGATGTGGATTTGAAACCGAAAGATGGTTAGGTAGCGACGTAGCTCCTAAGAGATATATGATATTTGTCATTATCTGGAAATTTAAATTTTGAAAATAAATTACGTAACTAGTTGCATTCCTAATCAAAAGTGTTTACGATCCGATTTTTTTTTGCCATTAATATTATTATCTTATACCTATATTATTTTTTAGTTCGTAATTGTCTTTGCTTTGTAATGAAGAACTTCACCACACGATCAACTCGAACGGTCCGAACAATCGTCTTTCTTCTGGTGTTTGTTGTTCTTGTCAATAGAAACGGAGATGGCGTTGATAAGCTCACAATGAGTTTCTCGCTTGTATTGGAGAGTACATTCAGCCTAAAAATCTCTTTTCACTAGAAGGAAAATTGCGAGTGCAACCCATGCATTTTATCTAAACTTGTATCAAAAATTTTTATTAAATGTCTAATGGTAATTGTTTTTCAATTTAATCTTAAAAGTTGTGAATTTCTTAAGAACATTAAAATGAAAATGAAAGAACGCACAGACCCAGTCACATGACGTGTAGGGTATTCGAAGCTTTTAAGTGTCAACACCACGAAAAAAAGTACGGCTTAGTCTAGTTCATATTCATTGTAGAAACTATAGGTTACCAAAAAATGCCTCAGGCGGACGACCAATTCTGTCAAGCCTAAAGCGAGTGGATGTTTTTGTGCGTGTAACACGACTGCCCGGGGAGGGCTCCAACGCCATCCCTTTGGAAGGTGTGTCGCTCAAACAAAGGAGTCATCAAGTGTGAAATGTGACGCCTAAACCCAAGCTCCGCTAACGTCCTTCCCAAGTTTTGGGTCTCCATGGGGTCAACCTCGACTATAATTATTTTTTTCCGTCTGTAAATTAAAGATGATACTGTGTAATTCAATTCTAAAATCCTGACGTAGCCAATACTAGATTGTTGATAAGCTAATTTTACACTCAACCAATAACTTGACTGCTCTCATAAGTTAATGTAATAATTTTAAAATATGTAATGAAATCTATATCCTAAAAACTTTCGTCAAAATTTATTTAGAAACGTCAATTTTACAATCAAATATCGAACTGCTGCATGAATCTTGGTACTCGTACATTAACACCACAGCAGCTCTTGATACGTATCGAATGCAGTCGAACAATGACATGGTCGTTAATCCCGCTTAGAGTGGCATTGTTGAAAGCACATATTAATTTGTACTCATCTTTGAACCACTAAAATATTAATTTTTCCCTTATATCTGAATTATGTGATGTTGAAAGCTGCCGGTTAAACAGCAGTGGTGTACGTCGCAATGCGTGTCGTGTTCACACATGCGAGTCTCCCGTGGACGATGAGAATAAGTGTTTAGATTACAACCCCACGCCAATGACTACCTTGTTGTTTGCACCAACAAAATGCGATATTTATCATCGCGCTTCAGCGCTACTCCGATTTAATTAAGCATGCATAGCGAATTCAAATATCCTTTTTATATGTGATAACGCTGCACCTCTATCTACTAGATATTTCATAGCCACATGAAACAAACTTGTAAAACTGGTGCTTCAAGAAGTCTCTGCTTAGTGACGATTTTTACTTCTGTTTTTCCACTCTAAACCATATCAATCATTCTCCCCATACTCGATAGTACAGCGAAACTGTCAATGGCCATGCCGAAGTAACCACTTTTTTTGAAGGCATATACCATGGACCATGGTAAAGACCGTAAAGAGCTAATAGAATGTATGTCAAATCTATGAAACATTAACCACGTTTCCATCTCCTCATTTGGCTGTTTATTCGAAATTCAATTCATTGAGGATGTTTTACCTTTATGAAACAGGGACGTATTAATTCACTACGGTAAGAATAAACTACATACTCGTACACAAGCTGAGCTCCAACTCTTCAACACCAAAGTCACACGGACACAAATAGGTTTCAACATAACAGCTCCGGAACCACAAGCAAACATACGAGTTCCAGCATAGAGACAAGCCGACAACGAACGCGGCAACACACTCTCACAGATGACTTTCTTTCAGCCTTGCATGAATGAGCATTCCCACTAACAGACGAATTCAAGTTTAGAAGGTTAGTTGAATTTTAGAATGTCGCCATTATGATCTGCGTCATTTGAAGAGTAAATATTGCGAACCCAGGGTAAGGAGCATGAAGACATGAAGCCTACAATTTTGGGGGAGTGGAAGTAACTTAAATTTTTGTTACAAGCGCGAACATAAGGCTTTATCGTGTGCCGTCTGACTCCTTATGATTTTCAGATGCTAATGATGCATAGACGTGGATCAGGATCATAGTAGAGCTGGTAAAACATATAATTTCAAAGATGGAAAAGAATTTAGTCGCATCTAAGTCGATATCTTCTTTCTCATTTAATATTCATGAAGCATTCCAAGAATTTCCAATAGAGCTTAGCCAGAAGCACTTTACTCTGTCGGTTTAGGCTGTCAGAAACGGCATAGAATCGTTGCTACGCTACTCTCATCTCGTCTTTTATCGCAACTGTTATGGAGGTGGCAAACAATTGATCATATGAAACTCTGCCATTGCACGTCCTCTTTGCATTAGGAGTGCAAGCCTCGTTTTAGAGCGGGGTAGTGCGATGGATGTGAGTCTTTGGTTCTATAGAGAGTGTACGCAGCCTTGTGCGATGGCGGCAGAGCTCTCTTACTACCAGAATCGTTTGATGAAACCTCTGAGCAGTGGTGGCTCAACTCGCTTCCTTCGCCGGCCCTGTGCGATGGCGGAGCTCCTCAAATTTTGCAAGCATATGTTTCTTCGAGCGGTAATTTTAGCTGTTAACTATGATCTCAATTTTTGTTGTTACTGCATAGCTCATGATTGCAGCTCTGAACATCTCCATCTATTTATGCTCCTGACAATTTTACCTTGATATTTGCTTACGAATTTAAGAATTTCATTTACAATGTATTCGTCGGGAACACAGCTTTATTGAAAAAAATACGAGTCTAACGACCTCTTTCACAATATTTCTGAACACTAATATTAAGTACAGCCACTTATCCCGCATCTTGGCGAACGTTATATCTTTGACTTTGATAAGCTTTGTGTGTGCAAACTTTACAGCTGTTATTTGATAAGCCTTGAGTACATAGCGTAAGCCTGCTAATATTCCAATACTATTCCATGATAGTACTGGAAGAATATACCAGAATATTTATTGTAGAAAGGACCTCATTCTAGGCCAAATTAAGGAAGGCGATCGCTGAGGACATGGTAGGAGCGTGGCTTCACCGGCTTTGGATAACACGTCCCAATATCTCCTCAGATTGGGACACTGAAACTGTCACGTCTTTTCATCATCATACGAAAGCCTTTATGTCATACGAGGTGAACTTACGATACTTCATCTTACTGCATACTAGCCGACAATTTAGTGAGCCAGAAATCGGTCAAGCCCGCTTATTTGCTCTGTTGTACATTTGAGGCTGCAAATT